AGAACCTGTTGTTAAAATATTTGAATCCCATCACTGATTAAGTGTATTGGAAAGTTGTATTAAGAAACAATAAACTAGTTTTATTTAAGAAAGGACTTGTATCGCTGAAGTTTTTCGGAAGGAATTTTTACGGGAATTAACAAACGAGCAAAAACGTAACATTATTATCCTATTTCATTTGAGTTGTATCACTTTAGCTCGCAGAATATCTAACTTTGACAATGTATCATATAAGCTGATTTTTACTTTTATTTTACAATAGCTAGAATTCCATACAACAGAATTTTCATTGCTCCTGTTTCTTATCATTTGCAATGAAGGCGAAAGAAAATATATCTACACAATTAACAGACATATCCACTTCAAGGAAGCCGGTGCAGGCACTCCCTGCACTGCGAGAGTTACAAATTAAAATACACAGTACAAAAATGTCTTGGAAATTTAGGTCATATTGTTTCATACATTTTTTTTATAAAACAATGTAAGTAAACAAATAAAAACATTGCACTTAAACTGCTTTTACCCCGACCTATGAAATGACATAAAATTCATTATAAGGAATAGCATATCACACAGGATACTTTTTAGATTCAACCTAAAAATATTTTTAAAAGAAAACTCCATCTTTCACTTCTCATGAATTTAGTTGTCAGTACAACAAACTAATAATCTTTTAACTATACAACATACAAAAATCACAGGCCTACAATGTTTGTTTGTAGAATGCTCCTTTCGATAGTGGCCCAGCACGGCCAAGTGGTTAGGGCGCTCGACTCACAATCTGAGGGTTCGAATCAGCCATAGGGGTATTATATAGTGACAGTCATTCGTTGGTAATAGAGTAGCCCAAGAGTAGGCGGTGGATGGTGATGACTAGCTGCCTTCCCTCTAGTCTTTCACTACTAAATTAGAGACGTGTAGTTTTGCGCGAAATTCAAAAACAAACCTTTCACTCGTGTTATAAGTGAATGTAGTACCAAGTTGTAATATCCTTGCCCTTAGATTGTAATAAGCTAAATGAGATCTATGCTGAGGAAGC